AGCATTCATAATGTTAAGCATTGTCAGAGTTCAAATTGGAACTAAGTTTTTTCTGATTCGACATCCTGCTTTGTGTCCTGTAGTACCGTCTTAGCACTAGGGGTATTACTCCAAGTTGATTATGTTTCCAGTGAGAAGAGGGAAGGAATAGAGTTCACCAGTAGTCTAGAAGTGACTCTGGGAAACAAAAGCATGGCCAGCTCACCCCTTCGTCCATTGAGGGTATCCGTGTGGAAGAGATGGGAATGAAGGTGTCTGTTATCAGTCTGAGAGAAACAGTGTGTAGTAAAGAAAATTAAAGAATGAAGAAATTTAAAGGCAGAGGGAAGAATTGACTTTAATGGATTGAAAGTCGATAAAGAGCCAATTTAAAATTAAAAAAAAAGCTATTGACAAGACCTACAGAGGAGGAGAGCATGATGAGAGCTAGGTGTAAGTTGATTAGCAGTGAGTGTTCAGGTTATTATCTTGATGGCACTCCACTCCTCTGCCCCCAACATCTCAGGGGAAGAGATGCTCATAGTGTGGATAGGGAGGTTATGGCCTGGAGATATGTGTGACTTTAATGAGAGGTATTCTTATGGTTCTTGAGAATGTCCTCTGGGGGACTGCTGGGCGTTAAGTTCAGAGCCATGAACTAGCACTCTGCCCAAGTTCAAACTCGATGCTTCAGAGAAAATGAGTGAGATGGTGACAGGTTAAGGTCACTGCCCAATTTTAAAGGTAGTTCGCAGATTGCTGAGTCCCTTTGAGACTCTTGAGAGGTTCCATTGGAACCCCTAATGTAGAGCTTACTTAAGTCAGGATAGGAGTAGCTTGTGTAGGTGTTGACAGGGAGGCCAGTGTATTTTTAACCAGGCTATTAGTCTCTTCTATGCTCTATAACTTTCTTGGCAAATTTAAATTTAGGAAGCTAATGGCAGTGCTATTCCCCAGATTCCAAGGAACACCTTTGTCGTCTTCCACTCCAGTCGGCCACTAATGGGAATGGGACACTAATCTATTTTGACATAAAGGGACAGGACTGAATTACTTGGCTCTCATTTAGTCTCTGTGTGCTTTTTCTCCCCCATGTTCTAGTCTGTTTTCATGTTATCAGTTTCCTTGTAAAATACTAGGTAGGAGGAAACCCAGGAGAACAATGACACCAGCCAGGCTAGACAGTATTCACCCAGAGGAAGCCCAACAGCTTGTCACAAAAGTCTAGGAGGTTCTTGTATATGCCGTAAACATTTTCCAATACCTGGTATTAGCAGATGCTGTGGCTTATTAGGCAGAACCTTATCTAAGAGCAGAATCTTCAGGATAATAATTATCTTGATAATAGCTAACATCTATTGAGCACTTACAAAGTGCCAGCAAGTTTTCTAAGCTCATCCTCTGCATTGACTCATTCAATTCTTATAATATCCCTGTGAGGTTAATACTGTTATCATCTCTTCACCCACGAGGAAACTGAAGCACGGGGTTTCCTGATTAACCAAATAAGTGGAAGACCTTTCCTTCAAATCCAGGCAATCTGACTTGGAATCTGAGCTGCCACTTTGTTGAGCTGCTTTCCTTAGCTACTGTTTACAAGGAGGCACAGAATAATCCAAAGAGGCTTTCCACCATGGTCTCTACGACTGAGTGCTCTGAAATTTGCTGATGGGCCTCATCAGTGGCAACATTTGATGGCTGGCCAAACACAGGGTACCCTGACTGGAAAACTGGGTTTAAGTAACCTGCTGCTGCCAGGAAAAGGGGATGTGTAGTTGGCAGAAGATGGGAGCTGAGAACAAGACAGTGACTGTGTAGGAAGGTGGATAAAGAAGCAGGATAAGTGGTTGGAGAGAGTCTCTGTTTCCTTCCCTCTTGCTTAGCTGACCATTCCAGAGATGCAATGAGATAATTGGTGAATTCTTGTAGGATATGAAAGCTCTGTTCAAATGAAAGTTTCTCTTGTTCATCCACAGTGTGCCCACACTTAAGTCAGGAAGATTAGTGGGGCGCTGTGGTTGGTGGGCATAGTTGTGGCAACCGTGTATGGTTGTGGGCATAGATGCCAGACTGGGAGATAGAAGGCTGTTGACAGGGAATTTGATGAAGGTGACACGCACTTGTTAACCCTGGGGAGCTCCCTGGAAGAGGGGTATAGTAACTGGATCTATTCCCTGGATCCTGTTTCCCACTCTGTTGCTACTGCTGTAGCCAGGTCTTAGTCTTGGAAGCTCCAACCCACAGGAGAAGACGAGAGGTCACTGTCTGTGATCTGCTATTATCTCAAATATTGAATAGGGAGAGATCTTTCTACCTCTATCCTCTCCCATCTCCATTGCAGGGTATGATGGGCCACCGCATTCTATGGGTCCAGCTTCCCTCTTATCTGCCATGCTTACAGGAAAATATATACTAATTACAGTCCATGAAGGTACTGGGGTGAACTTGGAAATAAGAGGATTAGACCCTGTTTATTTCAGGATAAGCATTTGCTATGAACATTGTGTGGTCATTCTGTTAATCTCTGAAAATCTTTCCTATTTACTCCCATCTAATGCCTAGCACTCTGCTATAATTCTGCTATAATTCCTGTTTTTACTCTTGTCCTGAGTTATCACCATTCATTTATATATTGACATACTTGAAAAAATAATTATATTATTTTTCTAAAAATGATGACACTTAATGTAAAATAATGGCCAAATCCCATCACGTGGAGATGACCACTTGGGACCAGCTCATTGAACATTTTCTCCAGACATTTCTCTACATATACACACTCTAAGGCTCCACAGTGTATATGAAGGAGATTCCACTATGTATAATTTCCCATGACTTTTTTTTACTTACCAGTATGCTATTGTCAGACATTTCTCTAGATAAACGAATATCTACACAGTAATGTAATATTTGCTCAGCATTCTCTTGTTTGAATGTACCAGTTTACTAAACCACCCCCACTGATTGTTGATTGATAAAAAACTCTGAGCACAACACTGAGCTCATCTGATTCTGTGAATCCAGGCTCTAGGCTTTGCTGTCATATTATATGATTCTCAGCATCATATAGTATATTGTGAAAAGTCCAAGGCTATGCTCCCAGCTCTGCCACTTAGTAGCTATGTGACCATGAATTCACTTTATCTTTCTGAACCTCAGTTTTCCTATCTGTAAATGATGGTGTGGGTATGCATGATGTTTGAAGTATATTCTACTAATTTGTAAAGCTGCTGTCAAACCATACCTCCCTAAATACTTAAGTATTTATGTCCATTGTCTGTAATGTCCAGCACAACGTCTAATACAAAGTAAAAACCCAGCAAACATGCTTTGGCTGAATGGCCAATGCAACTGTTAAATCTGGCTTCTCAACTTCTCCTTAGAAACATCCATTTCATGGTTTAGTATAGGCTTAATTTTTAATTCATTAAATTATAGACATTTTTATCTGTCCACCATCTCTCTTTAGAATTCATACACTTATATCTAAATGTGTGTGTGGAGAGAATTATGTATGGATGTACACATATATCTATACACACGTGCATGTGTGTGTGTTGTGTGTGTGTGTGTGTGTGTGTTTGGGGGGAGAGAACTATGTATGGATATACACATATATCTATGCATGGGAGTATGTGTTTTTCTTTGGAGATGAATAGAGTGGGAGTCTGTATGGAGGGAGTTAACTATACTTTGCTCTAAAATGTGGTTTTAGACAAGAGAATTAGAACAAATTGTTTCCTCTACTCCTAACAGAGTTGTAATGAAATTAAATGTGTGTGTGTGTGTGTGTGTGTGTGTGTGTGTGTGTGTGTGTGTTTGAGATGGGAGTAGCAGTATTCTGACAATATTTTAAAAGTGTCATTTCTTCCTTCCATCCATCCTTTCCTTTTTTCTTTCTTTCCTCTCATCTCCTACCTCCCCTCCCCTCCCTTTCCCTCCCTTTCCTTCCCTTTCCTTCCCTTCCTCTCTCTTCCCTTTTCTTCCCTCCCTCCCTTACTTCCTTTGTCGAAATAAATGAAGTAACACTATTCTTTTTACTTTAGTAAATGATGACTTTTATCCCATTATATAAGAAAAAAGAAGTAATCCTTTATTTGAGAAAATTTTCTGAACCAATGAAATTTAAATATAATATCTAGGGACAAGTGGGGATTGTGTTACATTGATATATTAAATAAATATATCGATTCATAATGGTGATGATGAAAATTAAATTGATTCACTCAACTGATACCATAATTAAACTCATTTGAAAATGTTACTTAAGAGCATTCAAGAAATCCAGGTAAAGTCTGTGAAGATGAACAGGCTGCTTCAGAAAGTTCGTCACTACCCCCTTTATTGTTTAATATTCTGAACTAGAATGGATTGCATTCTTTTAAAACAAAATACATACCTCATTCCCTTCCTAAGGAAGGTACATGGTGCACATTTTTAATTCTGGGTTTTATTTTGTAGTGCTCAGAGTCTCCCTCACAGACAGTGTTCACTGTGATATGTTTTGACCAAGAGTTGCTCTCAGAGACTTTTGAGGTGTCTAGCGCTATTTCAATCTCACTTCTGTGCTTTTGGGGTCATTAGTTTGCTTTTTATAGTTTTCCTGTCTCTCATGAGGGTCAAGCTGCATATTTGGCTGTTACGGCATATTTGCCTAGAACATTTCTTTATCACTCTATCCACTGTTCACTGTTTCAGATTCACTGCATGTAATTTATTGTGAAACTAAATACATGATCTTAGAACTTCTACCAAGTTAATAGCAAATATGATATGAGTGGTCTCCAGAAGCTTTTCTGGCTTATTTCTATGTTTTTAACCTAAATTTCAGAAACTTGAGGTTCTGGGGAAGTGTTCTTCAGGTCATTGCTATAGTCTGTAAAGAACCCACTGTTCTGTTTGACTGTGAACTTTCTCTTCTAAGCACGAGGACAGGATATGGCACTTAGGCCCCCTGGGTGCATACGCCTCCCAGTTCCACTCTCTCATTTTAGTCTGACTATGCGGTTCTTGTTTTGCAGTCCCCAGTCTATCCCAGACCGCCTGAGGATCCGCGTGAACAAAGTCAGTTTGCAAGACTATGAAGGGTTCCACTATGACAAAGAGAAGCTCCGAGAAGCTTGTAAGTTGGAAGTTCCTTGTTGATTTCCTGTGGCCTGCCTATCTTCATCTTCTTGATCTTCCTTGGTTTGCTGGATAGATTCACCTCTTTTTTGAAAACCATGGTTAGAGAAATGAAGGGAAGGGAAGTAACACAGGAACTCCAAGTGATGATAAGTGGGCTGGAAAATGGAATTGGGAAATGGAATAAAATTATCCTGCTCAAGATGCCAAGTTTAGGACCACTTGGTTTATTAACCACTTTGGTCTTGGTTTTATCTAAAACTAGAGACCTGGTGCATAAAATTTGTGCATGGCAGGGTGGTGGGTAGTGGGGGTGTCCCTCAGCTTAGTCTGTACCCTCTCCAATCTGGGACCCCTTGAGGAATGTCCAACTGCCCATTTAGGCCCGATCCCACCAGCATCGGGCCTAAACGGGTAGTCGGACATCCCTCTCACAATCTAGTACTGCTGGCTCTCAATTGCTCGCCTGCCTGCCTTCCTGATTGCCTCTAACCACTTCTGCCTGCCAGCCTGATCACCTCCTAACCACTCCCATGCCAGCCTGATTGATGTCTAACTGCTCCCCTGCCAGCCTGTTTGCCCCCAACTTCTCTCCTTTGCTGATCTGGTCACTCCTAACTGTCCTCCCCTGCATGGTTGATAGCCTCCAACTGCCCTTTCTTGCAGGCCTGGTCCCTCTCAATTGCCCTCCCTTGCAGGCCATCCTGTGGTGGCCATCTTGTGTCCACATGGGGCAGGATCTTTGACCACATGGGGGCAGCTATTATGTGTTGGAGTGATGGTCAATCTGCATATTACTCATTTATTTGATAGGATAGAGGCCTGGTGCATGGGTAGGGGCTGGCTGGTTTGCTCTGAAGAGTGTCCAGGATCAGGATAGGGGTTCCCTTGGGGCATGTGGCAGCCTGGTCCAAGGGCCTGTGGGGGTTTGCAGGCCAGCCATGACCTCTGGCGACCCAAGTGGAGGCCCTAGTATCTGGAATTTATTTACCTTCTACAATTGAAACTTTGTAGCCTGGAGCGGAGCCAAACCTCCTGCTCACTTCGTGGCTGCTGCCATTTCTGTTTGGATTTGTTTATCTTCTATAATTGAAACTTTGTAGCCTTGAGTGGAGGCTTACGCCAGCAAGGGCAGGCGGAAAACTTGGCTTCTTCTGTTGCTAGAGAAACCCAAATCTCCTTTCTGTTCTCTGTGGCCGTAGCCATCTTGGTTGGGTTTATTTGCATACTTGCTCTGATTGGCTGGTGGGTGTGGCTGGTGAGCGTGGCTAGAGCAGAGTGATGGTTAATTTGCATATTACTCTTTTATTAGGTAGGATGAGAAGCAGAAAGGTGGTGACACCACATGGTAGAGTAGCATGTAGAATAGGTGTCTTCCTGGAAGCTGGAAGGACTGTCTTCATTCTTCATGACAGTTACCAGTGAGGACGCTTCTAGTTGTTATGTAATTATATGATGTCCAAAAATGGCCCAAGTCACATTCAATGTCATGATAAAGTGATTCCTTGAGGATGTGTCACTGTTTCCAAAATCTTAAATTAAGTCAATATATGAATTATTTCTCTATGTTCACATTTTCTAAATATTTCTTTAAATAGAGACCTAATTTTTATTCACTACAGCTGTCCTTCAGTAGTTATTGGGCACTTTTTTTTTACATTCTAGTCACTATTTGAATTCTCCGTGGCATGATATATGAGAAAATTGGGTAAAATTTCAAAGATAAGATCACAGCTGTGTTAGATATTAGGGCCCAGGGCCCCCCATAATTATGGGGATCAGTAGTCACTTGCAATTAAAGTCAGAGAAGATCAGGTCCAATGTCCAAGTATATGGCAGGGATGCTAATAGAGAAAAAGGCATTTTGTACAAAACCAAAGGTTTATGAATTAAAACTCCAAACTGGTTCCTAGCGTGAACCTGCCTGAGATTGTAGAAGACGCAACTAGTTAAAATTGGCAGGGATGGAGTAGGGATGCATCCCTGAGAGAATTCCTTCCAAGCGCTTGTTCCTGCACCTGTGAATTGGAGTGGGATTGGTGGATGGGAATCCTGGAATTCAGGGACCCTCTCAAGAGTGCATGCAGGGACTTTTGCATCTGGAGGTGGCGATGAGTAAGGACCCATTTCCACGGCACTCCAGTCACTTACTAGGGAATTCTGTGTGAAATTACTGCCTTCTTGGCTGCTGCTTCAGCTTCCTCAGTCCTCTCAGCTCTTTTCTATGTCAATACCGGCTAGTCTCTCCCACTCTGTCATTTACCCTCATTTCCTTTGGTAAGAAAGTTGGAAGTGGAGGAGGGGTAATTCCCCAAATTACTCCTTTCTAACAGCCATAGATTACACTTTCTAATGTAAATGAGATTATAAGTGACAGATTAGTACAAAATCTAATTTAACCCATAATGTGAGATATATATATATATTCGAAATGTAAGGTTTAGTTACAATGTAAATGAAACTGACTTTCAGAGAAAACTAACTATAAAGAATAGTGGTTTTATTCTTAAGTCAAACAAATAGATTACAATTTTTTGAAAAATAAAAATAGAGAAGGGATCTCAACTTTGCACTATTTTGCAGCTTACCATCAACTCTGACGCAAGTCCGTTGGGAGTGGGAAGGCATTTGGGACTTTTGGCTTCTCTGTGCATTTCAATAACCTGTTCCATCTATTCTATCCATTATCTGTCCATCATGGCCAAAGATAGTTGTGATCTGAGTTTCACAAGAAGATGATACTTCTTGGCAGGTGCTTTACTCATCACATCTTAATGTGATAGAATCTCTGTGTGAGGAAACTTTCTATATCAAATTGTAGGAGGTGACTTGGTACACATATACATCCAACAAATTCAGCAGTGTCTTTGAGACCCAAAGAACAAAGAAACACTCAAACAGGGAATCCAGGATTTATCTCATTTTAAAAACTTGTGTTTAAAGATTATAATATATTAATTAGAAGTAAAGATGGCCAATTCAGGCCTGCTTTTAATATATGGTGATGGCGCTTCTAACCTGTGGTTGTACAGGAAGCTTTGTCCTTTGGGGTTTTTACTTGTTTCTAACCCTGCTTTGCTTGGCTTCAACTTGAAACTAACCACAGGTTCATGGGAAGGCTGGCAGAGGTCAAGTTAAGTATAAAGGAAAACACCAGTTCAAGTCCATGGGTGACATGCATGCCAAAATAGATATCTTATTTTACAAGCATTAGTTAAATGAAATTCCTAGAACACACATAGATAAAAGGAGTCTAGGAATCCACTGATCTGCATCCCAGAAGATAAAAGAGAATGAATCCTCTTAGGTCATTTATTTATTGTCCACATTCACAGTCTAAACTAGAGCAGTCGTGCATTAGGTGGCTTAAAAAGTAGTTCCCTTTCTTGATGATACAGCAAGCCATTGATCCAGGCATCACAAGCTGTTTGCCGTCATTGTTTAATAGAATCTTGCTCATGTGCCTGCATCATTATTTATATTACATTACAAATCGAATGTTTGTTGTCTAACAAAGTCCTGCTTTCCTCTGTAAGGCAGGACTTCTTGGTGATTTACAGGATGGCAACCCTTTTAAATGCCTGGCTTGTTTCAGCATATAAAAAGATGACTGAGCTATTTCAGATACATTTCATTCTTTTTTTCTTTGGCTCCAACTTACCTGGGGGCATTCACCCTAATAGAATAGCACGGAAAGGTTAGCTTCTTTCTCAGCTCTTGCTGGTAAATTTTAGACTTATGTAAAGCAATTTGAGCCTTATTCACAGGGTTTATGAATTATTAACCCTGAGATAATGGTTAGACTGTCCAAGGTTGGCAAATTTATTCAACTTAAAAGTTAGAACATAAAGAGAAAGTGGCCATATTAAAAAAATTCATAAAGTAAATTTATAATATAATGACAGCAGAGACTCACTCTTATAATACAAATAAAGTATATAAAGAAGTCCATAGAAAGCACATCATTATGTAATTGTTGGAGTGCAAGCAGGCCTTAAAATATCCCACAATAGCATATTGATTACTTTGAATTAATGTTACTTAAGAAACAGCCAGTGTAAGAAAAACACTGACCTCTTTGTGCCCCTAAAAGTAGGACATAAATCTCCCGTGTTAAAGGCCCTCTTTTTGGACCTGGAGGCAGGGATTTCTCTTGTCACTAAATTTAAAGAACCCAGTGCCAAAGAGTCTGTATAAACAAACCTGGTTTCCTCTTTATTAATTTACTACCCAAGCCCAAAGTGTTTAGGTTCCTCACTAATCGATACCCAAACCTTGCTTAGATAACTAACTTTTTTGTCCTGTCAATTCTTCACAAATGTATTGTTTATCTAAAAATCATTAAAAGGCTTCTGAGTCAATGATTTCTTTGAGCTTCATTTTATGACCAGAAAAATCATTTTTTATAACTGCTCATGCATACATATTAAATTGTTTTTGTCCTGTTAATTTAGCCTTGTGTCAATTTTATTATTTTATTATTAGACTAGTTGTAAGAAGTTAAAAAGTTTAGGGGGTGTATCTTTCCTTTCCCCAACGTAGTCTAGACAAGGAATAATCAGTTTTGAAAATCTGTTATCTTCCATCATCATCTATTTGGCCCCCTTTATTCTTTACAACCCCCAACATCTTTTGACTTTGGGTGGGATGTAATAATTATATATAGATTATGTATCATAGAAGTGTACATTTGAAGCCTATTAATGTCACCCCAATACATTTTTTTTAATTAAAGGAAATTTTTTATATTTCTAACTTGAAAAGAGTTTCATTGATATATGATCTATTTTTAATATCTCGAAAAACTTGATACTGGCCAAAATTTAACTCTATTCCACAAGAACTAAACTACTCCTGGCATTAGCTTACTCTGCACTTTTGAGCTGCTATGATAATTCATACAAGTCTAGGGCTTAAAACACAAAAGCAAAAACCAGTTTAGAACTAATTGAAAGCAGATGTAGACTATAAAAGCAGGAGGGGACTAACATTTGTTTT